ACCTTTCAAGTACTGACGCATACTCTGCACTACATATTCTCGTGATGTAGGTTCAGGTCCTCAACTTCCAGATCACGCATAGATCGGTTCTCGATCTCCAGTTCAGTAGCATCAGAACTCTGGTGAGTCCTCATTTCTCAAGGACGTCAGACATGTTTATTTTGATTTTAGTCTTTAGTTTCAGTTTTGCTAGATTTAGCTGGGGCATGTCCCAGCACTTCTAGTCAATTAGAGGCTTATTTCAGACATAGATAGTTTCAGCTTTTGTTTTGAGTTTCATCTTCAGTTGTTATTGAAATCTTCTCAGATTAATTATTTCAGATTTAGAATGGGTATTCCCCATTATTTTTCTTTATCTCATGTCTTATGCTTCTGCACAGTCTTTTCTTTACATCAGTTTATTTAGTATGCTTATGATATGCCAATAGGGTTAGCTTAGGTCACTCGTGATCCTAGGTCCCATGTCCGCGTCTTGGGGGGTAGCTTCGGGGCGTGACAATCGTTGCACGCTCGATAAAATTGTAGAGTCTTGCTTGATGATTATGTTGAATGTCGTGTGTGGTGAGGTTGTCTTGGAATGTGTGTTTTATAATACCTAGAAATTGTCTCGATTGTCCAATCAACTAGCATAGGCGAATGATAGAGATGATCTTAGGCACAATTTGTGGAGAGTGAACCAAAATTGTTGTTATACCTCTTTGTGACCACTTTGTGAGAGTGTGAACCTTGCTTGGCACCGTTTGAGCCTACCCTTTTCTTAGGATGAAACTTGAACACATTTAACCTCTTTCTCTCTCACCTAAAATCTTCATGAAGCATTGGTCATTTTGAATAGCCAACTTAGGCTAAAAGCATAAGTTGGGGGTGTGGTGAAAAAGGAGGAAAGTCAAGAAGTTTGAGAAATTATCCCTTGAAGGATCATGTTGAAAAAGATGAAACCCCTCCATATAAAAAAAAGAAGAGAAAAGAAAAGTGAAAGAAGAAAAAGATCAAAAAATAAAAGAGTTGTTGAAATAAAGTTTGTACAATGGATCAAAGAAATGGGGTATTCAATGAGTCATGCTTAAAAGAACATAGGATGGATTGTGAAAATCAAAAAGAGTGAAAGAAAAGGAGAAAAAAAAAGTGAAATGCAGGTCATGCTTGATGAAGGTAGAAGTCACTAAGCCATAATGATCATACCTTTACCCTCAGCCCCGTTACAAGCCTTGAAAGAATTTTGTGACCTTTATTAAGCTTAATGTCATGTTTATTAGAAAATACGGGCAAGCCTATGGGAAAAATCATGCATGTGTTTATCTTTGAGAGAGTGAGAGTTTCTTTTGATTCCAAAATTCTGAAATTTTCATGAACTTTGTGAGAGCATGGAATCATTCTTGAAGTGAGGGCATTCAAATACTCTTGTTAAGCTTGAGCTTGCATTTGAAGCAAGCATTCTGAACTTAATTTCTATTTGATGATGGCTAGTCATAGTTTGAAACTTGGAGTGCAGAATTGAACACTGTGTGAGTAGATTGAACCTCATGTGCATGCATCTTGAGTCTTGAGCAACACTATTTTTAGGTATCTCTGTTGAACTGATTGATCTTGTGTTTTACTTTAGGACAAGCAAAAGTTTAAGTTGGGGGTATTGATAAGTCGGGGATTTCATCTCATTTAGGGCTTAATAATCATAGTTTTAGTGTCCTCAATGCCTATTTTATGCTCTAAACTGATGTTAAAGTGTTAATTTGCAGAAATAAAGGCAAAGGAGCAAGGCAAGGACATTACCGGGCAAAAAGGAGCGAAAAAGCTGAAAAGGTTGAAGAAAGCAAAGCTGGTGATCTCCAAGACCACTCAGTGAACCGCCGAGTGGTTCTTCAGCTCGCCAAAAGTTCCAGAAGGCGAACCTTGGGAAAAAACCAACTCGGCGATGGAATGTGCAACTCGGCAGAACGCCGCCAAATGGATCGGCGATGGAGATCTTAATCGCCTAAAGTTACAGAAGTTGAATAGTGAAGAGTCGTTTCAAGAAAGTGATGGACGAGGACATTTGGCGCATCACCGACTGGTTCGGCGATGCTCGACTTACTTCGCCGATTGGTTCAAAAGCTGAAAATCTAGAAGAGTACGATTTTTAAAAGATGAAAAGGGAGTTCTCTGGTTCCAAAAAAGTTCCCACATATTTTAACTCTGGGTTTTTTTTTATCTAAACACTGTTTTTAGTAGTTTTAAGTAGAATTTTAAGTTGGGTTTTGATTTTGAACTGATTCCAAGCATTGTGAAGACTTACAATTTGTTACCCAGTTGATGAAGAACATAGTTGGTAACATTTTATTGCTTTTATGATGTGTGGCTAAAACCCCCATTCTTGAGGGTGTGATTATGTGAATGTTCTAATTAGCTTATGGGTGTTAATATTCACTGATTTAAATGTTGATTTGAAGTGGGTTTGATTGATAGTTGTGTTTTAATTCATGAAGTGTAGTTGCAAATACAGTTCTAGTTTAGCATTCTAGGCTTGCTTGAGAAAGAGGTTTTAGAATTAAAACTATCAATTGGTGATTGTAGTGATTGGGTTATTGTTGATTCATCTTGAGAAAGTGAATCTTAATTCGATCATACCAATCTAACTCGAGAGAGTAGATTAATTAAGGTTTTAGGTTGTTCATATTGTTATGCTTGTCGAGCTTCGAGAGAACTCGCTTGATTCGTGGTAGTTGATCGAGATATGGCTACTACATCTAAAGCCTAGCCTACTCACTAAGATTCATAGTTTTTAAGTAGATAATAATCACCCATATAGAGAAATTGGCATTTAATCGATCACATCCCCACGAATCCCTCTCTACTTGATTACCCCATGTTTTCGTAGTTGAAGCCATTTTTACGGTATTTTTGCTTCCAGTCCATTTTGTTTAGATAATGTCTATTCTTATAACCGACTAGAACACATCATTTACTTTGTAACTGAATTATCTACCATATCACTCCTTGTGGGATCGATCCCAACTCTTTGTTGGGTTTATACTTGATTACGACCGCCTACACTTAGAATTGGATGAAGTGTAGTTGAGCGTTATCAGCACACCCCACCTATAGTTGCACTAGCACTATCCCCACTAGGTCAGCCTTCAGCGGCGGCACCTCATGTTTAGGTACCAGCTAAGGGTGCCCAGCTAATGATTATGGTCGGATTTACGCCTTTAGGAGAGCAGAAGATGCTCGGGGTGTTATTGAGACCTTCACCTTCGAGGTTTTCTAGCGAGCATGGGGAGGATGCTCATGAGTTTCTTACTACTTGTTATGGGCGGCTATATACTTTAGGTTTGGTGGAGTGGAGAGAAGCAAACTTCACCGCTTATTAGCTTGATGGGCCAGCCAAGAAATGGTGGCATTTCTCCCGAGAGACTAGGCCAGTTGGGTCTATTTCGATGTCATGGTAAGATTTTTCAGAGGCGGCTTCTTGGCAAGGTTTATCCCACTGAACATTAGAGATAGACTCTAAGATTAGTTTTCAAGGTTGGAGCAGGGCTCCATGACTTTATCTGAGTATAAGATGAGGTTTTACGAGCTCTCTCATGATGCTACTATGATATTGCCTACGAAGTACAAAAAGGCACTGAGTACAACACTTGTTCCAGAAAGAAACCAGAAATAACTTATCAATCCCCAACCCATTAACTTTCATTAATTGTTTTGGATACGTCATCCTTGTGAGAGTTCAAATCATAAGATAAGTGTTAGTAGCCTCAAATCTCTGTTGTTAATCTCTTTTCCTGGTCATTTGCCTCTTTTTTACGCAGGTTAAAATTTAGGACGATTTCTAACATTTGTAACCATTACAAAATAATCAAAGCAGAGAGATTAACAATGCATGTAACTTCACCATTTAAGAATCACTAATTTGATTTAACCAATATTCGTTAATTCATGAACGTTCTCACATCCCTAATTATGGGATTTCACTATTCATCCTTGCAAGATTCAGATCATAGATTCTTCGAATTCATTATAAGTAAAGTATAAGAGTTGGGTAGAAGAAACAAACTTGTATTAACCATTAAGCAATTCCAAACAGTACCAATAATATCCAGAAATTAAGAAAAATGATCAAAAGTTCCTTCACTCCAACGTATGTCACAACATTCAATACTGATTAATGTATAAAATAAACCCTAAGGAAAGTATTTATAGACAGAAACAATTGACTCTAAACAAACTAGGATATTAGGTTGCAACGCATCCCATGACTTGTCTCACGACTTGTCAATGGGTCCATGATTCGTCGTTGTGAACTGTGGGTCTCGTTCACCCTTTTCTTCCGCCTTAACTACCTAAATCTCACTACTTGGAATGACAAGTTATGACACATTTCACGATTCTTGGGATGCATATGTTGTCTGAGGTTAGTGATTCAACCTTCTCTCGATCAATCTCACAGTTTGAGATGACGACTCATGGACTGGGCATGGTATGATATTATACGAAATTATCATACCATATCAAATTTTTTGATATCATGATTTTGGTATAATGGTATTTGGTATGGTATATGATATACATTTAACATTTTTTTGGTATTCGATATGGTATCTGGTATTTAGAAACAGCATACCGAAATACCGAAGTACATAGTTACATAAATAACACATATATGATATTCATAGGAATTATAATTTTTCACATCTACAACCATACTGAAGTATACAGTTACATAACCACATCGAAGTATATACCGAATACCATACCGAAGTATATAGTTACATAAATTAAAATGATTATAATTTCCTCTTTATTTTTGTATGTGAATAGAATAATCCAATCAGTCCTTGTTAGAAACGGATGGTTACAATTACTTGTCCAAAACCCATGGTGCATCAAAAGCCTAGTTTACAATATGCTTATCCAATCTACACAATCAAGTCTGAGCCAATAAATTGAAAGGAAACTGCCAAGTGGCCTTATAAAAATCAACAGATTGATAGAAAGGAATCTATTTTCTCATAAGAGACTAAACTTGCAAAATACTTAGTAGCACAACAAACATGACTAGTGCAGCAACATCTTTTCATTCTTGTTTATGCTTCTCTGTTCAGAAATTATCAGCATCACCGTCGTCGTCGTCATGTTCAGATCAACAAATGAGTCTTTTATCACCAACAAAACCAAAATCAATTCTTCAAAAAAACCCACTTTATCAACCAACTCACAAGAACATCTCATTGCAATTCAAGGAGAAAATCTTATGCTTAGAAATAATGGGTGTTGATTCAGGGAAAGCACTCTCCCAAAACCCCTGTCTTCACACCGCTTCTTTACACGCAATTCATGATATCATCACTTTCCTTCAATCCAAAGGACTTTACCAGAAAGACTTCGCGAGAATCTTCGGGATGTGTCCAACAATTTTAACCTCAGATATCAGATCTGAACTCAACCCAGTTTTCAATTTCCTCTCAAAAGACTTGAGAGTCCCTGAAGACTATTTCAGAAAGGTGATCAACAAATGTCCAAGATTGCTCATATGTAGTGTTAAAGATCAGCTTAAACCAACTCTATTTTATCTTCAAAGACTTGGATTCACAGATGTACATCATTTAGCTTATCAAGATCCAATATTACTCGTTTCTAGTGTCGAAAATACGTTAATACCAAAGCTTCATTATTTGGTAAGCTTAGGATTTACAAGAAGGGAAGCTGTAGAAATGACTTTGAGGTGTCCAGGACTATTCACTTTCAGCATTCAGAATAATTTCAAGCCAAAATTTGATTACTTTTCACAAGAAATGGAAGGTGAATTGGATGAATTGAAAGATTTTCCTCAGTACTTTGCGTTTAGTTTGGATAAAAGAATAAAGCCAAGGCATATTCAACTTGTAGACAATGGAGTTACAATTCCATTGTCATTAATGCTCAAGACTACTGATGAAGAGTTCAATCACTTGATAAGCCAAAAAACTGGATAGACTAAATTTCTGAAAATAATTAGTCTTTTTTTTTTCTTTTTTATTTGTAAATTCTTTGCTTTGCTATTCTAATGTATTTTCTAACTCTTCAACTCACTAAAGCTAATGCCTATATTATTTTTTTCAGTATTGATGATCTACTATTCTTTGTTCTCTCATCCACTCTACTCTGTTTTTTTTAATTAATTGATTTAGAAAAGAATGTCACATTTTTTATATTCAGAAATATTTTAATTTTTAATTTGTTATATCCAAAAATAACAGATTCGTACTAAAAAAAAAGAGGTACTTCTTTTAAATATAAGTGGTCCTATATTATTTTAAAAATAAATGGACCTATTTGGGCCTTTTTGATAAATTGTTAGTTCGAATGTTTAAGAAATTTATGTTTTTTAGTTATATGATAAAATTTCAGGGAACTTACATAAATCCTACTGGTTTACTTAGATACACTTTAGTTTGTAATATTACGTATTTTACCAAATTTTGAAACCTCCAGATATGTGTCCAGATACATGTATCTCAAATACATTATACCAAATAAGTTAATTCACATGTATCTGAAATACATAGAAGTCTTAATTAGTGATAAATATTTTGAAAGTAGAGGTAATAATAGTATAATATATGGTAGTGAAGTATTTCTAGTTATCTATTTTAAAATTTCCAACGTACAGCTTTTGAGAAATCCTTGAATGGAAAGTGACAAATGGCGATGTAAAGAGTAACAAGTACCCTCTGTTAAGAAACAGTGACTGATTATTTTTAGGGGTAAATTAGCTCGTAACATATTTCTGTAAAAAAAGAAAAATAGCAATCCAGAAACTGAATCGAGCAAAATGATACAGAAAACATTTTAGTACCACATCTAGTTCAATAAAAGCATTTATTTTGGCTAACGATATTTATAATCTTGTTATCAAATGAGACTACAATAATGGCAGCGTAAAACATGTATTTATTCTTTCAAGTTTACGAGCCTGAATCATTTGATAAAACATTGAATTGGAAACTCCTTGATGCTAAAACACTTGATGTTTGACATCAAACAAGTCCATTTTACAGCACAACAGAGTATCTAATATCCAGCATCACACTGTTATACACATCGGTAACCCACTGACATCACACTCCAAAATCAAGTTGAGACAATGCCTGCACCATTAAAAGGACAAGGAGACATAAATTTGATGATTGTGGATAACAACTCGAAATTAGTCATTTGTTGAAGCTTTCTTTAAATGTTTTTCACTTTTGATCTATTTCTTTCCATGTAAAGAAAGGGAATGGGAGGGGGTTGTGTAAAGCATTCTATAAGTCCCTTTGATATAGCTGCAACTTCCATGCACAACAACAACATACCAGTGAATCCCACCAAGTGGGGTTTGGGGAGAGTAGAGTGTAAGCAAACCTTACCACTACCTCGTGGAGGTAGAGAGACTGTTTACGAAAGACACGTGAAAGAAACACAATCAGACACGACTACTTTCTATGCTAGGAGACGTTGCACTTCCAGTAAAGATGAGTTCTGAACCAAAATGATGTTTTATCCCCAGAAGAACTAACCTAATGTGAAAAAACAAAAGTAAGCACTTCTACCTAAGTGCATGAATCTCAATTTCATGCGCTATCTATGATTTGGCTGACAGCCCCACTAAAGGCCGTTAAGCCCTTTTTTCATGCGCTATAAGAGTGTGGAAGGGGAAAAGTTTCTGCCATGAAGGTCACTGATTCAAGCCTTGGAAACAGCCTCCGGCAGAAATGAAAGGTAAGGCTGCGTACAATGGGCCCTTGTGGTCGGGCCCTTCCCCGGACCCTGCGCATAGTGGGAGCTTTAATGCATCGGGCTGCCCCTATAAGTAACAGCGTTCACTTCTTTTTTTTACATTGGTTCTGTTCTTTTGACAAAAAAAGGCATCATTTTAGTTCCTAACTCTAATAAAGATTAAGGCTCCTCCTGTTAGCCACCCCCTACCCGCCCTAAAAAAAAAATGAAAAGAAAAAGCAATGACCACCTTCATGTCTATTTGGCCATTGGCACATAAGAAGATCATGCATCCAATTGTTCCCATCATATATACAAGTAAAGCAAATACCGGCATATCCATAGCTTGACCAATTTTTAAATTAAAGGAAAAAAAGAACACACTCTGGAATAGGTAATCAGTTAGTGCAGTCATCATAGTATAGTATACTAACCATCTTTTACTTCCTCTCCTGCTTCATCCCCCAGTTGCCAAACTATGTCTTTCAATCCGGTGGACAGGTTCTTGTAAAACTGTATAGAAAAGAAAAGAACATTAACTGTATCAGCATAAAGGCACATGCATGGACAAACCTGATATAGATATAGCTCAAGTCCATCAATACAACATAACCATTTTAAAGATTAATAGATAAAAACAAAGAACTGCCTTGTAAGACCAAATGTCAAACATCACGTCAAGTCTTCTATGCATATAGAAGTAGTGAAAGTACTTGAATAGATTTAACCAAAATCCACAAATAAGCAGAGGTAGCTATCTGCTTCACTTCAACTAGAGGTTCCACTTAGCTTAGTTAGCAAACCACACAAGAGAGTTCTCATGTATATCTGTTAATGAATCAATGAACACGGCAAGAACTTCCAATTTGGTTTACCTTGTGAAATTCCAAGGTATCTCCTCCAGCCTTGCGAAGCTCAACCATGTAGAGTGAAGGTGCCACCTCATAAATCTACAGCAGACTCAGTGTCGGAAGTTGTATTAAAAGTTTGAATGACAATGAAAAACTTAGCAACCCAGAAGGTCCTTCAAACAAACATACCTCAGTTGCAACGTTCAAGTGACCTTTGCGCCCGCTCTTCTCACCTTGAAGCTTAATCTGGTACAGAGGAAGACAGAAATTTTATCATGAATGAAATTTTAACAATTGCATAGAACCGACTAGAGTATTAGAACTTCGAGATCCTAAATAATTTCAACCTGCTCATATATTTAATAACTATACTTGATTGAAAAAACTGAGCAGTTATTATGTAGGATAGAAAAAGAGAAGAAAAATGTATCGCGAATAAAATTTTAATAATAGCAAAGAACCAACTAGAGTATTGAACTTTTGAGATCCTAAAGAATTTCAACTGCTCATACATTTAATAACTATGCTTGATTGAAGAAACTTAGCAGTTGTTAGGAAGGAAAAATATGAACATTACAATGCTGAGATGAGTATTTGAGTTGCCTGAAAACCTATTGACAACTCCGAGCAACATTTCTTCAAATCACAACACTTCTGCAAGACTGACAATAAGAGAAAACTAAGGGTCTGTTTGGAAAGTCACCTGGTAAGTGGAATTGGTGTAATTATTAGGATAGTAATTATCAACCTAGTAATTACGATGACTTGTTTGTGCCACAATGTAATTACAAGTGAACTGTAAAGTTATATTAAATTTTAAAAATAAAAATTAATTATCTAAAACTAAAAATTTATATTAGACAAATAAAGGCTGTTATAAATGATATAAAATTAAATATTTAAGTACTCCATATTATCTTTTGTTAATATATTAATTAATAAACATATTTTCTTAACTAATATTACAAAAAAATAAAATTGATTTATATCTTTCAAAGTAGTATACTTTAACCAAATTAATAATAAAAATTAAAAGTACAAGATTTCTATAAACATCATGAAATGCATGTTTGTCAAAAAAAAATTAATATTATAAATATTATGCCATAAATTTGTTAAAACATTTGACAGAAAGATCATCTATAGGGTCTAACTAAAAAATAAATGGCTTGCAATGTGAAATATCTAGTCAATATTACTAAAACAAACGAAACTGAAAATATAACATTAAGTTCTAAATTTAAAAGAAAAACTTTAACATAATACTTTTATGTCAAGTTTCCACATAATGTACATAAATATGATTTAAAAGAAAATAAAAATGTAAGTCTATAACCTAATTCAACAATGAATATTACTTTGATTTAAAAATTAGAATACTAACAAACTTATGCTAATTAAAAAAAAAATGGCAGAAACAAATAAAATAGATAATACGAAAAACTACACTAAATCAAATGAAGTAAAGGTTGAGAATGAGAATGAAATGAAATATAAATAATACAAAATAAAACAAATATGTTTAGAAAATATTAGAATAATAAAAAATAAAAATAAATTTAAAATAATAGAACTAAAAATAAATTAAAACAAAAAAATATAATAAAAATAAAAGGAAGAAATTAAAAAGTAACCCACTTGTAATTACCAGCAATTCCAGCCCTTGAAAATTGGAGAGTGTAATTACCCCCTACCAATTACACCCAATTACTTGGTGACCAAGTCATTACATATCCAACCAAACATATCAGAGAGTGTAATTACACCAAATCCAATTACCAAGGTGAATTTCCAAACATGCCGAAGTATAATACATTAGAATGACTTGTCCCATTCACCTTATAGTTATTTTTCCTCACATTGAATCCCAAAGGTACAGCAGCTTCTTCAATTTTTGAAACAATTTCATTCGCAGGACATCTCGATGTAAATCTTGTCTCCCTTTTGACCAGCCCCTGTAAAAGTAACCTAGATTAGTACCACATCTTTAAACTGCTTGGATTAGATCCTTCTGAAAACCAAGCATTGAAAATTGTATGTGCGACATGTTCATTCTTTTTGTTTCTCCCTTTTGGGTCTTTTGGGTTTGAAAGAGTGTTGCTTTTGTTGTACATCTGGAAACTTTAACATGTATTTTCCATTTTAGTACAAATGTGCATTGCAGAAACCAAGTAAGATATACCTATGCAACATTTGATTTTAATTAGTAACTCGTTTGAACTGAGACTCGACAATGGTGAAGAATGTTCATATTTACCATATCTTTGAACTACTAATTTCTGTCAGGCTCAACATTATTCGCAGATGTAAAAACTTAAAAGTGAAACTTCAAAAAAATTGTATGGTTCCAATCTAAAATGTGACCAAACATTTATTTACTTGAACATCAGTCAATAAGAATGTTAAACTGTGCCACTTGAGAAGCTGTGTGTAAGATGATAAGCTTCACCAACACATACCATTTGCTTTTCAAACA